CAAATCTGTCTCATTTGAGACCCCCTAGTGAATTGTTCATTTCAGCTATTATACTTCTCAGGTCCAGACTTTCCTTTTGGTTTCTTTTAACATTTTGTTTCTTTATTTCAATTTTTATCATTTTCTTTGATTTTACATCTTCCTTTGGCTCTTTGAAACTCTGTAAGACAGTTGTTTTAAAATCTTTTTCCAGTATATCTATCATTGAATCTTTTTCAGAGGCAGTTTGTTTTGGTTTTACTTTTTTCTTTTGAATGGACAATATTTCCTATTTCTTTGTATGCCTTGTGATTTTTTGTTTGTCAAAAACTGGACATTTGAATCATGTAACATGGTGACTCTGGAAATCAGATTCCCCTTACTCCTTTCCTAATACTGTATTCTGCAGTTTATTTATTTATTTTTTATTATAGGCTCTCTCTATATCAAAGATCAGACTGAAACATAAAATTAAGGTCTTCTCACTTATATTCTGAACCTGCACCTTTCCTTGAGCAGTCACAATAACTTTCTAACTTTCTCCATGTATGTGGTTGCTTTTGAATGTCTTAACCTTTAATGTCTGGCTCACAAAATAGGAAAGAGTGAAAAGTGAAGGGTGGGGGTGGGGTGTCAGCCCTGGACATCACTTCAGCTAGCAGTTAAGAGGATCATAACAATGGATGAAATACAACAAAACTGGCCATCTGCCCTTTTGTCTGTATTTCTGTGATTAGAAATAGTAATTAGTAATGAGAGCACAGGTCCCTACATTTGGAAGATGGCATCTGTTTTGCCTGGTCTGGCTCCCATAAGCTGTCACTAAAACACAGAGAGAGAGTTGCCTGCTGTAGGGCTCAGGGTAGGGCATGGGTAGTTGCTACTGAGCTAAGAGCTGAAATTGACCAAAATTAGCACTCTACCATCTCAGCCTTCCACTGGAAGTTGCAAGCTTTCAATAGACACTAGAGTTCCAAAATACTTATATCAGGTGGATTCTACCAATGCAATTGTTGTCTAGGTAAGGAGATAACAATCTGTGTGGCTCCTATTCTGACACTTTCCCAAAACCCCATAGAGAATCTACTTCTTTTTGAAGCAGATTTTAAGTAGACTTTTAAGGGGAAACAAAGCATAGTTCTAGATCTGTAACTTGAAGGAAAGATATAAATATAGACGTCAAAATATTGGTAGGTTAGGGAGAAATAAGAATTTATATGAAAACTCGTATATGATTGTTTTAACCTCTGTGTAGTGAGAATCTAATTTAATATGAGTAATTTGTAGGTAAGAAAGAGATTGTCTTATGAAGAGAAGTGGTCTGCAAAATTCTTGAAGAATGATCCAGAGAGTGAAGAGATTTTTTAAAATTCTAAATTCTGCTGGACATGGTGGCACACACCTGTAATCTCAGCTACCTGAGAGGCTGAAACAGGAGCATCACAAGTTTGAGGCAAGCCTGTACAACTTAGGAATCCTCTAAGTCAACATAAAATTTTAAAACAGAGCTGGGGATGTAGCTCAGTGGCAGAACACTGGCCTAGTATATGTGAGGCCCTGGGTTCAATTTCCAGTACTGCAAAAATAAAATCTAAATTTTAAATTTGCAGTATTCTAGCTGTGTATAGATCTGCGTTGAATTGTAATCCTGGGCTGTAGAATTAAATGTGAATTATTAATTAGAAAATTATCAGTTTGTTCTTTTTAAAGAAAGTTATCAGTTTTAAAAGTAGGGCCGGGGATTTAGCTCAGTGTTTCTGCCACCTGCCTCATAAGTGCAGGGTCCCGAGTTTGATCCCTGGTACCAAAAAAAAAATAAAGTAAACTCAGGTTTTGACTTTTACACATTATATTTGTTGTTGACCCTGAACCTACTGTTGTTTATTTGAGAAGAGGGATAAGAAAAAGAGCAAGAGCCAGAACTCAGATGCATCCTCCAGTAATAGCTATTGTCTTAGTTACTTCCTCATTGCTAGGACAAAATACCCAACACTCACAAGTTAAAGGAGGAAAGGTTTATTTTAGCTCACAGTTTCACTCCATAGTCAGCTGGCTCCAAGGCACAGTGACACGGCAGAGGGGCACCCAGAGGAGAAACAGCCTATAGCTTGGAAGACAAGAAGGCAGCAAGCCTACCTTCTTTCTGTCTCTTTATATTCCATCCAGGCTACAAGCCTATTGATTGGTTTCACCTACACCCAGGGTGAGGCTTCCTGCTTCAATCAGTCCATTCAGCCACACACTAAACTGTGCTAATCCAGGGGATTTAGCTCAGTGGTACCGCCACCTGTCTTGCAAGCACAAGGTCCCAAGTTCCATCCCCAGTACCAAAAAAAAAGAAAAACTGCTAATCCAATTAAAGGTCTAATCCAGATATCACACACCCTAGATCCAACCACCTTTGAAAACCCCCACCTATGAGTGCATGAGGCTTTGGAGGGACATCTAGATGCAAGCCATAACATTTTGCCTCTAGCCTCCAAAAGACTCATGTGTGTCCCTTATGTAAAATGCATTTAGCCCATATCCAAGAGTTGCCAAAGTCTTAACAGTTTTAGTATTGCTGAAAAGTCCAAGTCCAAATTCTCCTCTGAGATTTAAGGCAAACTCTTAGCTGCAAGCCTCTGTAAAGATGAAAAGAAAATTAAACACTTCCATTATATAGTGGCACTATATTACCATTTCAAATAGGGGGCTAGAAGGGATTGGCCTGAAACAAGACTGAAATCCAGCAGGACAAAAATTAAATCCCGTAGTTCCATGTCCAGCACCTGGGGCAATTTGCAGCAAGATGTGAACTCCAAAGGGCTTGAGTGGCTCCATTCCTGTGGCACTGCCGTTGATTGTAGCTCTTATGGCTCTCTCTTGGGCCAGCTTTGCTCCCTCCTTGTGGATTTCCTCAGACGATCCACATTCCTGGCTTCTCCAACCTTCTGGAGTTTCTGCTGCACTTGCAGCTTTACACTCACAGTTTCACACACTGCTCTCTCAAGGTCACACTGCCTGACCTCCTAGGCCTTCTGAAATCTGGGTGGAAGCCTTCCTGACCTCACAACTCTTGCATTTTCCATGTGCCTAAAACCAGCATCGTATGGATGACACCAAGGTCTGCTGTCAGCTGGAGCTGTAGCCAGACTTCCTTCTCTCTTGGATGTAGGGGTCAAGTGCCTGGATTGCTGAGCACTATGAACCCAATCCTGAGGAACAAATTATCTAGGCCATTCTGGAACAGAGTGGTCAGGGGCTTTTGTCTCAAAGCAAAGTCTTTCACTTTTGGAATTTTGAGGCTGCAAAGAGCAGAGTCCTGTTGGTTCTTGTCATGGCCTTGGGCCATCTTTTCTATTGCCCTCTTCCCAAATACTTGGGTTTGGGCCAGGGATTTAGCTCAGTGGTTCTGCCGGCTGCCTTGCAAGTGCAAGGACCCGAGTTCGATCCCTGGTACCAAAAAAACAAAAACAAAAAAAACACCAAATACTTGGCTTTTTGCTAATCTTTGTAGCAACCAAGTTCTCCTGTTTTATCTTGTAGGCTGCAGTTTTACTGGAATTTTTCTTTCTGGCCAAACTAAAAACTTTTTAAATCATTCTGCTGGACCCTTTGCTCTTGATTCTCAATATTGATGTGGCTTAAAGCCCCCAACAGTAACTATACTACCACCTCAACATTAGACTGCCTTGAAATTTCTCCTGCCAGATTAATTAGTCTGCTGTCCTTAAACTTGGTCTCCTGAAGTTTCTCCAGACATCAGCAAAATCTAGACACATTTTCTGCCAAAACATAACACACGTCATCTGGAGTACTTTCCAACAGAAACCTTCTGAGCCTGGTCTTTACCGCCACCATTTCTATCACCATTCTGGTCTTCTGAGCTCTGACTAGAATCTCCTATCAAGTTCAGCTTACAGCTTTCCAGGGCTGCTTCTTCAGCAGGCATCTCCAAACCTTTCCAAACTCTTTCTACAAGCCAGTTGCAAAGGCTTCTGAACCACATGGTCAGGTAGTATCACAGCAACAACCCCACTTCTCTGGTACCAAAATCTGTTTTAGTTACTTTGTCATTACCAGGACAAAATACTTGACACTCACAAATTGGAGGATAGGCTTATTTTAACTCATAGTTTGTAGAGGTTTCACTCCATATTCAGCTGGCTCCAAGGTAGGATAGCATGGCAGAAGGGTATGGCAGAGGAGAAACAGTCCATAGCATGGTAGGCAGGAAGGCAACAAGCCTGCCTTATTTCTGTCTCTTTATATTCCATCCAGGCTACAAGCTTATTGATTGGTGCCACCCACATCCAGGCCAGGGCTTGCCTCTTCACTAAATTCAGTCAGCCACTCCCAGAACTACACTAATCCAATTAAGGGACTAATCCAGATGTCACACACCCTTAATCCACATTCACATACCTTAGATCCAAATACCTCTTGAAAAGCCCCATCTATAAGTACATGAGGCTCTTGGCCGACATCTAGACACAAGCTATGACAGCTGTGTAGTAGAATGGTGAAGGAGAATTTTTGCCCATTAGTGTTGTTATTGCTGTAATCAGCATTTGGATGCAGAAACTATGGACATATTAAAGTTAATATTTCATTGATTTATAGAGTACTGTATTTGATCATTGGAGTTTTAATTTCATTATGAATTATTTACCAGTCATCTGACAAATAACTCCCTATCAACTTATCAGAATTTGGCTATGTCCTATCTCTGCAAAGTGGTCTTCTGTTGTAGTCTCTAAGGTCAACTTACCCTTTCCATGATTCTACAACCCTGAAAATTTGTAGAATTCTACATTTTAGGTCTTGTGTCCATTTTATCTTTTGAACTAAAGTGGTTATTCAGTAGTATGACTTTGTTATTATGATACATAGTTTTCAAAGTCAGTGGGCCCCCATCTTAGCTTCTTAATGTGTGTATATTCCAAACTATGCTAAATTAGCTTTTCTGTTAAATGGGAGCTTCTCAAAAATTATTCAACAGTGCTGAACCTTGACATTTCTCTTACATTTTCTTTCAGAGTGACAATAAATGCCCTTGCTCAGAAGCTCAATGCTTATTGGAAAGAAAAGACATCTCAAGAGAATTTTGAAACTTCAGCTGTAACCAGGCCAGTAACATAAGTAATAAAACATATTATATGTGAAAGTATTAGGGGTAATGTCCATAGACCAAATGGAAAGAACAAGGGTAAAATGATGTTTTTTACACCAGAAAGTTTAATCAGCCAAAACCAAGAAAGCACAGGTACTAATTGCATCATTTTCTAACCCTCTTCATTCTCATTTAACACATGTGCAGTTTGGATCATAAATGTGAAGAATGTAGTACTGTCAGTTTAATAGAAGTAGTGTAATATAGAGGCAGATTGTAGGGGACAGGGGAAGGGGACGTTACCAGAACCTCTGCAGTTAGTCCTGGTCTCCTGCGAGCCACGGCAGCACACGGCGAATTACAGGAAAGGTAGAAAAATGAGACCGAGAAGAAGCTGAGCTTTGGGTCTGATCAGTGCTGCTCTGGGCAGCAAAGACAAAAGCCCCCAGCTTACCACACCTTTTATTCAGTACATCGGGAGAAACAAATGTAACAGATGACTTGCAGAGAGTTCAATAGTTCACATTGGGATAAACAAGGTGTAACGGAAGGCTTGCAGAGAGTTCAGTACATCTCCGGCAAACAAGATGTTAATCAGTCCAAGAACAATGAGGAACTGAGCAGGTGTTTGTTCTCCCAGGATGTTTCTTGTCCTGGAGAATCACAGCATCACTGGATCACTGAAGTCTCAGTTGTGACCGGAGGCCAAACTGGAGTTATTCTGTAGCTGGGCTGTAGGCAAGAGAACTAGGCTAACCAAATGATTTATCCCTAGAATTATGTAGCATTGCTCCCAACAGCAGATGATGACCATTTAAATCAGACACTCCTGGGTTGAAAGCAAGATCTTCTTCTTAACAGTTGGATGGGCTTGGATAAATAATTTATTTCACTTCTCTAAAGTATATCGAATTAGGTGGCATAACACTTTTAGCACAGTGCCTGGCATAGAGTAGGTGTTCAGACATGTTAGCAAATTTCCCTTCTTATTCCTAGTGAATATTGTTGGAAGTGAACTTGTATTTCAGAGGAGAAATACAGAACCCAGCATATTAGAAAAAAGGTAGAATTTGCATCTAATACAGGGAATTATATACCAAATGGGATGAAATGCATCAGTAAGTCGGAAAAGGAGTATAATACAGAAGACAGAATGAATATCAACACATACAGTTACATCACTGTCAAGTTAGAAATTAGAGTGTTAAAAGTTCATTTGGGACATGGGAAGGAGTAGCAGAAGGGGAAGTAAAAATGTTCAAGATGTGATATGTATATGTACCAATTCTCCGTGGTGAATGTATTTATTATGTATCATAAATATATACTAATAATAATTAAATAAGTAGAAATTAAAATCACCAGCTATATGTTTATTTCCTCCTTATTCTAAGGATCTTAACTTATGTCCATCCTCCATGACTGTCAAAGAAATGAAAATTAAGATGCTCTTTTTATCTTTCAAATTAGCAATGATCAATGCAGTGAAACAGATGTTAATATACTGATAGACAGTGTATGTACTTGTATGTAATACCAGAATTGTAATTCTGGTATTTATGAGTAATTATATGCTGGGTATTATTCTAAGTTCTTTGCATGTAATTTATTTAATCATCACAATAAGTCTTGAGAGACAGATTATTTCTTTACAGTCGTAGAGACTGATATACAGAGAATTTAAGTAACTCCCTCAAAGTTAGCAAGCAGAAAGTGATAGAGCCAAGGTTCAAATATAGGCAGTCAGGCCCCTAAACTAAAGTTCTTAACCACTATACTCTTTGCAGAAAAAATAGAGAGGAAATACAGTATGGCTCCCTCAACTTCCTGTTTAATGCAAGCATGAGCTAAAAGCCTCTTCTGCCTGCCTGGAATGCAAGATCCACCGTGTTTCACATGTAACCCAAAGCAGAGAGTTAATGTCGCTAAGTATGCTTGCTCCTGAGAGAACAATATTGACATCTTTCTGAAAGAGACTTTTCCATATCTATGCATGTAAATCCAAAGCTAATATGACACCTCACTCCCTAAACTGCTTTTTGCTGACTCTGGCTCTAAATGAAACAGTGGCTGTGTGAAAATATACATAGACATCAGAGGTCAAGCCTGAGCTTAGAGCTTAAAGGTTGGAAGTCTAAAGCAGACCAGAGCTAAGAGGTAGGAAGCTATGGGTCCAGAAATGTACACAAACCATTTTCTTTAAAACAGAGTTGTAACCTGATGAGGTAGTACACTCCTGTAATCCCAGAACTCAGGAGGCTGAGGCAAGAGGATCACCATGAGTTCAATGTCAGCCTGGGCTACAATACTGAGTTCAAGGCCAACCTGAACTACATAGAGAGACCTTTTCTCAAAAAAGAATTTAAAAAAGAAAAAAAATGAATTTTAAAAAGAAAAAGACATTGTATTTGAGTGGTAGAATTATGAGTGCTTTCTGTATTTTCCAGTTTTTTCTGTGATGAGCTTTTATGACTTTTATAACTAGAAAAAAGAATCATTTAAAATGATAAGAAAATTACTAAACCAAAGGTTAAAAGAACCACACTACTCTATAGAAATATCTATAAAAGCAGTGTAAATGTAACATACAGAAAACTTACCCTACTGGTGAAATTAGCATGAGGTACCTCTCTCCCTTCTTTATATCTTTTCTCTAGCCTTCCCTCTTCTTGCTCCAACCCATTTTCATACCATAGGTACTGACTACATCCATCATATATGAGCCACCTCTTTTCACAGAGAAACAACTCACTTTAAGATGTAGGTGTCTGGTTTCCAGTTCCAGCTGTGGATAGGCGTATGATTTTTAAGAGTTAGGGCCGGGATTTAGCTCAGTGGCACCATGCCTGCCTCACAAGGACAAGGTCCTAAGTTCAATCCCCGGTACCAGAAAAAAAAAGAATTTTAACAGTTGAGTTCTGGAAGACTTTATTTTAATAATGTAACCCAGTTGTTGGTCTGGTGCCACTACTTTCTAGTTATGAAATTTAATCAAATTTATAGTCCTTTTAAAGATTAACTTTGAAACTATCAGCCTAATTTTTTATTGAAGCACTATAAACAAATTGTTTATTTTTAAATAAAAGGAGAATAAGGGGATCTTCAGGGAAATAGCAGAGATGTTTTGATAACAGTGCTTCATTGACTCCTATAAATGCATTTTAAATCTGTTAGTGACTGAATAGAAGCAAATAAATTGACTGAATGGGTTTTATTTCTTGGTAATGATATAGTCATAAAATATTTTTTCAAGTTAATAAATTTTAGAGTTAAAATTATTATTTTGTTAGAACAAAAGATTCCAGGATAAATATTATTGATCTCCATAAATAATGATACCTTACCATGTTAATATGTACTTGTTATTTTTTATATCTATATCTAATATATCTTCATCATTATTTTATCTATGAAATTCAAAATATACACATTTTAGACATTAAACTACAACATTTATAACACATTTTATATATAAAATTAGGTTTTTTTCACTTGGTTTTACCTTTCTAATGTAAGATAAAGCATAGAGCTGGAGGATACCTAGTCACACTTCTGTTTTCCCTCATTCAGGAAGATTCCTGATCAGACATGGGTACAGTGTGATGAGTGTCTTAAATGGAGAAAGCTTCCTGACCAAGTGGACCCATCTGCATTACCTGCAAGATGGTTTTGTTACTATAATTCCCATCCAAAATACAGGTAAGGTTCCAAGACTCAGTATTATCCCTGATATTATACCTGATTTGTCTTTATCTTTTAAAACACTTAATCTCAAGTCTATACTCTTCACCCTGGCATTCAAGCCTCTATGCTTACAGACCTATGCAGCTTTATTTTTTATTATACCTTAATGAAAAATACTTTGTACTTTACTTTATACTTTGTACTTGAGCAAGTGCTATGGCCTCACTTTTCCCCACACAAGCCATGCTTGCTCTCTCTTCCATGACTTTGATTGTTATTTTTCTCACTTGGAATGACCTTGTGCATTCCATCTGCCTGTCCAAATCATCTCCATCTCAGGAGCTGAACTCTTGTGTAGTGTTTTTTTCCTGTTGGCAGTAGTTTATGGTTATTTTACTCTGAATTCCCTGCAGTATTTAATTCTTGACATTTGTTCATATCCTATTTTGTTTTTTTGTTTTGTTTTTTGGTACCGGGGATCAAACTCAGGACCTTGCCCTTGCAAGGTAGATGCGGTGCCACTGATCTAAATCCCTGGCCCTATTTTGTTTTTTTTGGATGTGCATATGCATATGCTTTGACTCTTCAGGAGATTTTAAGTTCTTTGAGAACAAGGTCTTTATATTCTAGGTTGAATTGATGTTTTTTTATATGCCTTCTATATGGAATCAATGTTAACAGTACCTATTTTACATTCAATACTATTTGTTTACACGTTTGTCATCCTGATATACCATATGTTGCTTTCAACATCTGACATCTAAATAGCATTTGGTGTATCCATGGGCATTAACTTCAATTAAACCATCATTTTATTTGACTCAGTAATCACATATGTTCATAACAAATCAGTTTGTTTCAATCCAGCTATGATTACCTTAAAATTCTTCTTTTTCCTGTAGGATAAATGCTGATAGAAAAAGGGTGCTGAAACAGAGTATGCTTTTTAGGGGAAAAATGTCTAAAATGGAAGAAGTTAACTAAATGAAATGTGGGTCTATAATGTGTAAAGATTCCCTCATAGTTTCCAGATATGCCTAAGCACTTTTCATTGGAGCGTAAATGAGATTGTGTGATTAGAATATGGGACTAATTGTTTAAAAGTTTCATTTTTCAATACTTTATCTTTTTTTTTTTTGGTACCAGGAATTGAACTTGGGACCTTGCGCTTGCGAGGCAGGCACCGGAACCACTGAGCTAAATCTCCGGCTCAATACTTTGTCTTTTATTTGCTTATACTAATTCCAAGAGACACTCTTGTAGGCCACTTTACTTCCTTATAAAATAGATGTAACATAGGTTCTAATTATTATTAATTTTTGTTTGTCTTCGGGATTACTTTTGACCACTGAATAAATTTTCAATACTCTTGGTTTTTAATCCTAAAATTCTCTTCATGTTTTATATATAGAAAGGTTTTGTACTGTGAATAGGATCTACACCCTGTACTGTTAGAGGGTTGTTAAACTGCCCTTTGATAGTCATATGGAAAGCAAAGGGTAAACATGAAAAACACATTTTTCTTCCAAAAGATGATTTCTTATCTATACTGCAGGAGATGCTCTGTTCCAGAGGAACAAGAACTCATTGATGAAGATCTATACTTAACCAAAGCTAAAAAACAGTTAAGTATATATGAGATGGTGTTCTATATCATATAATAGAGGAGCCTAACACATTGTGATAAGGCAGGGAAGTTTGGGGGAAAGGGATAATTTGGGAAGGTTCTCAGTGATTTCTCACCTCACCCTGCTAATTCTGTATTCCTTTCGGCCATCCTGAATGTCTCAACTTGTGATTATCTTTAATATCCCCCCCCCCTTTTCTTTCTCTCTGGGGTAGGAATAACATTTGAAAATTCTCTTCCGTAGCATAGTTCAGGAAGGCAACCTCAGTTACTCAGTGAGGCTCACACTGTTTCTAATTTTGAATGAACATTATAACCTAGATCTACAATTGGTAATCCATTTCATAGAGATGTTTCATGAGTGAATTCAATAGTGCTTTTATCTTCTAGAGATCAAACTGTTGAGAAGAAGATGCCTATGGAAAATGAGACCTACCAGGTGAGAGACAGTGTTCCTCTTCCTTTTCTCACATGAAATTTTCCACAACAGAATAGGGTGAAGGTTACAGTCTTGAAAGCTGCATAAAAAGCCAGGTGTGTTTGGTGCATGCCTGTAATTCCAGCACTCGGGAGGCAGAGGCAGGAGGATCCCCTCAAGTTCGAGGGTAGCCTGGGCTACATGGTGAGTTCAGGGCCAGCCTGAACTACAAAACGAGAACCTGTCTCAAAAAAAAAAAGCTGCATAGAAATAACAAACCATTTCTTCTCATGGTCTTTTCTTTTTATTGGATCTTTGGGTTGTGTTGATCTGCTGCTGTTACTGATGTTCAGATCACCTGAAATAGAAGACTCAAATCATTTGTTTCCCAGATTTGGATTCAGTACTGAATTTAGGCAGTGGAAGTGTCACATTCAGTGTCACAGTATATCCAGGATTGTCTTCCATCCTCATACAGACTGTTCCTGTTGAGTGTCTGGTTTTCCTGTCTCTTTTCTTCCAGGATTCAGGGATGATTCCTTCCTCTTTTCTCTTGGGAAGAAGGGTTGGTTCTTTTTGCCCCTTCCTGATCCCTGCTTTCAGGCTGGCTGGCTTTGTAAAGACTGCTGTTTTGAATTTTCAGGAGCACTGTCTCCCGGACATGGTTGCCCAGCTCCGGACGCTGAAGGGTGCAATAAGGTTGGCCGTCCTTTTAGGGACACTCCTCTCCTGACAGCCACCATAGCACCCATATGTCTTCCCTACTCAACCTTGCCTTTCTGCATGATTTTCCTTTTGACCCTCTTTCCCAGAAAGATCTGCTAGTCGCATGTTAGATTCACATTTCCCGCACTCAGGGTAGGTCAGACTGGTGAGGATAGAGGCAATTTAATACTAATTCTTCTTCTGATATCCTGCCAAAACCCAGGCATATGAGGAATGAAGTTTCATACCCTGATGTCTTAGCTTAATGGTCTTATGTAGAGATTGGGAGATTATCTAGGACTGCCCTGTCCTCATTCAGTTTACCTCCCTTCATATTCCTTTACCTTAATTATTCATACTATCTTCATAAGTTGGCTCTCCCACAGATCCCAGATGCATGTTTCTGTGTGTGCACTGTGAATATATGTTGTCTCTTGCATGCATTTCTCCCTAACCAGCGCAGACACTTGCTGCATTGCTTTTTCTCTTTACCCCTACCCTCATTACAGATCTCAGAAAGAATGAAATCCTAGCCTTCCACTGGGTCAAAAGAGAGAAACAGACAGTGATAAGGGGCCTAGGTTTATGTTGTGGATGGGACAGGTCTAGGAGCCAGTAAGTGAGTGGGGGGAGGTCTGTTGGTGGCTAGCTGATAAGGTTAATAACTGAATGTGCCTGGGTTCGGTGTTCTAGTGTACATTATTCCACACTGTTTGTTTTTGTGTAGGAAACAGTTTCTTTTTATTTGGCCAAGCATTCTTTCCCAGCTTCAGAAGGATTGACTCAACCTTTGGTATTTGGTTTGAATTTAGGATGTTTATGAATCATTTTTTTCTTTGCTAGGTACTCAGTAATCTACCAAAGATTCCTACTGTTCAAGATATGGCTGGACTGAATGACAAGACAATTGGATATGAGGGAATGAATGCCCCTAGCCTGCTTCCATGTGTTGGAGAAGAAAGCCAGTCACCTTCTCTTCAACTTAAGCCTCTGGATTCCAGTGTTTTTCAGTTTTCCAGGTGACTAAGAAAAATAGTGTGTTGTTGATAGTAAGACTCAGGATCTGCTTTCCTGTTCAGTGAGTTGGTATATCTTACCATGTTTATATTCTTCTGAAGGCCTAGCATGGAATTTATAAGGAGAAAAACACTTTTGGGTCAATAGAATTCTGTTGTATATACTCTAAATTTTTCCATGTTACAGCTGCTATGTCAAGTCTATGTATTTTGAAGTGATCATTTGCTGAGACTCTTCTATGTGTTATGTATTGACATTATGTTGGGAATTGTACAAGTGAAATGAGTGTGATAACTTTGAAAAACATAAAGTGCTATTAAATAAGGTAATGGTATATAGATGAGCATTGGTCATTTCCTTCAGTTTGTGGATATTGAGTCCTTTGGGGCCTTATATGCTTAGTAAATGTTGGCTGTGTATAAAAATAACTATTAGAAATCTATGCTATTAGGTTAGCCTTACATTGTTCATTATTTCCTGGAGAAAATACTTAGGAAAGTTTCATCTTGGGCTACACTTGTTCATCTTCTAGGACCTCATCAATGTCATTTTGTTAATCCTTATTACAAGAAGGAAAATAACTATTCATTTTCTTAAATACTATATAAGGAGTATTTGAAGCACTGAAAGACATGGTTTCCATGATAATTAACTCAGTAAACCTAATTATGACTGCTTAGTTTCTCTTGTACTGTTTTTCTCACTCTTGTACAGGCAAGCCAAAGGGCAAGCACAGAATTACTCTCTTAAAAGTCAAAATTTATACAGTCATCAATACTGTGACTTTATAGTGGGTGTGAACTTGGTAGTGACTTTTTTCAGTTTGGGTGTCTTCTTAATATATTGTAGGATAAAAGCAATAGAATATATCATAGGATAAAATGAATCCTGGCTTTTCTTCACCCCCAGTGTTACTGATTCATTTCCCCTTTGTTGCTTCTTAGGTGGATCTTTTCAGCCTCTCATCTAGATAAACATCTGCACAGGTGTGCAAGTCCCTTATTCATTGATTCTTCTACAATTAAGCTTTGTAGATAATGGAGGAACCTCAAGACCCCTTGAACATGAGCAGTCTCAAGAGGAAATAAGCTTTTTGGAGCAAAACTGATAAAACTCTTTAAAGAGTCAAATGAGAATCTGTACGAAAGCATCTAGATCAGTGTCTTGGAATATAGTAGGTACTAAATAAGGAATGGTTGAATTTGAGTCATATTGAAGAAACAATTTCTAAGATTAAATTTTTTTAGAAAAAAAAGGTTAAAAAAATATAGTACAGCCTTAGTCTCAGAAGTTTGAGCTCAATTTTACCCTATACCCACCTATACTTTTTAAATTCCCATTGTAGGTTTGGAAGGGTACACAGTAAGTACTCTATTTGAAGCACATTGTTACCTCTGTACCTTGGTCTTCTGAAGATATTCATATCATTGCTTTTGAGTCTTTCCCTACTATGACCATATTTCCTTTTCCCAATATTTGTTTTTTTGTAACTGTAGTGGATTTTGGTAACCTTAATAGGATTACAAATGCTAATTTTTTGCATTATACCATGTATTTTATGAGTGCAGTACTGCAGTACATCCATTGGGCGGCATACTTCATCAGTCTTTGTTGGGATTTTTATATGCGTCTGTATGGAATGCTATATCCAGAGTGAGGTTCTGGCTGTAGAAGGCAGGTAAAGTACTTTGACCATTCGTGTATAATTTTAATTTATTGAGAATAAGATTCTTTCAAAAGAAAGAAATATGTGATACCTCATGCCTCTCATACAATGCAAGGTATGTGTTGTATAAGTTAGTAAATAATAATTGTATCATTTCAAGCTACCTGTTATAAGGGGTTTCAAATTGATTAGAGAATCAGGTACTGGGGAGAGCCTGCCATTTAAGGAAAAAAGACAGAAATACTCACAATTTTAATAAAATATACAAGGTTCTGATATAATATTGTTAATGGAATAATAGGTTTATCAAAAATTGCAAAGGTCTCCATTGTTAACAAAAGCTTAAAACTGATAAGAGTCCTTGAGTCATGTAGTTCAGTTTACTAACTCTAGATAAAATAAAGCCTAGATTTTTCAAGAGAACTTTAAGAAAGTTGTAGTGAATACGTTAAGAAGTTCTCCAGAGGTGTCATTAGAAATAACTTTATAAGTTTCCAAAATCTAATAAAGGGAGAAGAAGACCTGCAATAAATATGTTTAGCCAGAATGTAAGAGGGGAAGAGGGGGGCCGGGGATTTAGCTCAGTGGTTTCACCGCCTGCTGTGCAAGTGCAAGGACCTGAGTTCGATCCCCGGTACCAAAAAAAAGAGGGGAAGAGAGCTTATTTCTATTAAAGTAAATAACTCCTTTCTGTTCATTTATTCACCTTATATTTGAGTGTTTTCTGTATGAAAAGTATTCTTCAGGGTAATGATAGGATTTAAGATGACAGAGCTTAGAGTAGTCAGTTTTATATGTAAATATAAATTATTATAAGGTAATATAGCAAATATAGAAATATTAATTCAAGAAATCTACTAAAGTACTCTCAGGAAAAACAGTGAGAGTCAATAGCATTTAAACCGTGATTTCCTTCTACTCCTCTCCAGACTCTGCTTTACAGAAACTACTCAAGGACTAATCCAAGTACTTGGGTGTGATCAAGAAGATGAGGGCTCCTTCTTCCCTTTCTTCCCTGCCTAGAGCTGTGGTTTCACCTGGAAAGGATAAGCTTCTGACTTTTTTCATCTCCCCCAGCTCTGTTTTGCACAAGCTTTATTACAGGTAGACCCAAAATGACTGAGTATCTCTTCTCCTATTCAGCTTTCTTTTCTCCCACTTGCAGGGTAGAGGTATTCACCCAAGCACAGCAAACTAGGCCCCATTACTCTGCCCCAAGCTTGTGCATATATCACAAGTTCATGTAGGAAGGGGGAAACCCCAAAACCACCCTAGCACCCATTCATAAAAAAGTGATTTTACTCTGGAAGAAGTAAGCCACTGTCTCTATATCTTGCACAGTGTTGTAGAGTTTCTTGGACAGAAAGGCAGGCCTCAAGGATGAAGCTCTATCTGAAACAAACTTGACTTTATGTGGAACAAAACATGGGGAATCCCATGCCTAAAGGCACTGTCAAACATAAGCAGTCATGGTAGAGGTTAACTAAGAAGCACTCATAACTCCATGATACAGCAAAATGACCACATAATAAGTTTGGTAATAGAATCAGGGAAAGACAGTTAAGACCTCTCCTGTAAGCTAAGTCAGTCCTGGGTTTCAGGCAGGCTCTGAAGGCTGTGCATAAACACAAGTTAGCACCCATTAAGAAGTAGAGCAGGAGATAAGGTAGACTCAAAATCAGGACCCAAGCTGTACACAAATAAGGACAGGAACCTCATTGTCATAGGAGTTTAAGCCCTACTGCTGACCAACCACTGATTAAACAATACATTGATCCAGGGGCAAGTCCTAGGAAACCAAGCTTAAAAATAAAATCACACAAAACCCTGGAAAACTGTAAGGTAGTATACACACTCAAGACTGTGATCTCTCACAGTAACTAAAGAGGGAAAAATCAACTATTAGTACCTGGCTGAAAGTGGCACAGAAACATAAACTCAAATTTTGATAGCCTCCAAGCCACACACACTTCCAGTAACAAAGGCTAAGAATCTATGTGGCTAAAGGAGCTTAAGCACAACCTTCGGCCAACAAGTGGTCTGTGCTGAGCCAGGGATGAAACCTAGGTTGCCAGGCAAAAGAACAAAATCAATTTTAAAAATGAGCAAAAACCTTAGAGGCTGCATACTGAAGGGAAAATAGACTTCATGGAGTAAATTCAGCCAAGTCACTGAGTTAAAAACCAACCAAACAGTAAAGATATCAACCCCCCAGAGTGAGGAGAAATCAGTGTCTAGTATTACTATATTGTATTATCTAAAATAACTAGTTGTCAAAAAAAATGAGACAGCCAAAGAACAGGAAAATATAACCTATACATAGGAGGGAAACACAATAGAAAATGGGTTTCCAAAGACTGAGATGTTGGATTTAGCAGACAAAGACTTCAAAGTAGCCATTAAAAATATGTTCAAAACACTAACAAGTTCAAGAAAACCTCTTATTATTTGAAGTATGTGTGTGTGGCTTTGGAGGCTACTATCAAAATTCAAGGAATATGTCTAAACAAAGAAAGTAGGACAGTGTCTCATCAAGTACAGACTAATAAAGGAACAGAAATTATTTTTTAGAAAGAGAATGAAATGGAAATTCTGGTACAGAATTTTCCAGAATTGTATGGAAAATACAATAAGGTGACATTTTCTCTATAGAGACTCAACAGCACTTTAGTGTTGGAAGAAGAAAGGATCAGGAATGTGAAGATAAATCAGTTACAGGTTATATAATCAGAAGAACAAAGAAAAAAATGAAGAAAAATGAAAACAGCCACCATTTTGCATAATAGTACATGGAGAAGAAAGAAAAAGAGGTAGAAGAATATTTTTTTAAATGGCTAAAAACTTCCAAAACCTACACATTCAATCTCAATAAATTCAAAATAGGATAAATGCAAAGAGAGTCATGATGCCAGATACATCATAGTGAAAATACTGAAAACCAAAGGTGAAAAGAAAATCTCTAAAGCTGAGTGAGAAAATGATTTGTCATGTACACAACTCTAATAAGATCAACAGCTGATTTCTCACCAAAAACAATAGAAACCAGAAGGCAGTGGGATGCTGCTATAGTTTAGGTATTGTTTGTCCCCACCAAAACTCATGTTTCTATTTAATTGCCAACCTAACAGTATTAAGAGGTGGTAGGACCTTGAAGAGGTGATTGGGGTCATGGAGGCTCTGCCTTCATGAAGTGATTAATGTAATTGGCATTAGAATGGATTAGTTGCTGTGAGAGTAAGTTGTTATAAAGTGATTTCAGCTTTCTCTTGCTTCTTTCACCATGTGATCTCTTCGCACATTTCTACTTGCTTTTCCATTTTTTGCCATGAGACCCTTACCAAAAGCCAACAAGATGTAACTATCTGATCTTTGAACCCTCTAGAAACAGGAGCCAAAAGAAACCTCTTTCCTTTATAAGTTATGCAACCTTAAGTGTTCTGTTATAGCAATGGAAAACTGACAAAAATGACATAAAAGTACTAGGATAAAGGATTGTCAACCAAGAATCTTAATTGCAGTAAAACTATCTTTGGAAAGTTGAAACTACCTACTACTACTTTCCAGCTACCTTTGGAAAGGTGAAATAAATATATTCTCAGATAAGGAAAAGCTAAAGAAATTTGTTGCTAGCAGACCTCCCTTACAAAAAGTACTAGAGGGAGTTCTTCAGGGTAAAAGCAGGTAATGCCAGATAGTAATCTGAATTTATATTAAAAAAGAATGCTGATAAAGGTAGCTAATTAATTATAAGGGGCAGCATAATAGCATATTTCTTCCTCTTTCCATTCAGCCAATTTGAAGAAAAAATTACATAAAACAATATATATTTATTTGTGATTATATATATGTATATCATTTTTTCATTGGACTTATATATAAAGATAAAATATTTGACAGTAACAGAACAAAGGAGGTAGGTGGGAGCAAACCTATATTGGTGAAAGAAAATGATAGTAGATAGTGACTCAGACACATAGTCAAAAATGAATAAAACAGAAAAATGGTAAAAAGAAGGCAAATAAAACAAGCTCTACAAATATGTACTTACTATGGTTTCTTCTCTTAGCTGGCTCAGAAGGTATAACATTGTATAAAATACTAATTGTAGCAATACATTTTTAGATTTCTAAATGTTATACTAGAAAATGTCCACATAACATAGAAAGTAACAGAAAAGGAGGAACAAAAGAACAATGTATGACCCACAATAGACAACAAAAAGCTAAATAGCAGATATAAATTCTACCAGATTAGTAATAACATTAAATGTGACTGCATTAAACAATCCAATCAAAAGAGAGATATTGTCAGATTAGATTT